TGAGGGTTGTGATCCGTTGCCGGTCACGAAAAAAAAAAAAAAAAAAAAAAAAAGGAAATGCAGCACAGTGTTGCCAGATCTTTACATTTTTCAGGGAAAGCTGAAATTTGGATTTTTATGTGAAATCTCTCCAATTTTTAAATGTAGGAAACTTATTCAAAAATTATATAAAACACTGGAGTAAAATAAAAACAAAGAACCACATATCCAAACCTAGGGTTGCAGGCTGGCTAAGCTTGCAATCTCCAGGATGGTTGAAAGCACTTTGCACCAAGGGGCAGGAGAACTAGATTCTCACAAGCCAGCAGCATGACTTTTGTAGGTCACTTTACTTCTTTGAGCCTTAGTTTCCTCATCTGCAAACCACAGAGGTGAAGCCAGATGATCTCCTTGGTGCTTTTTAGCTCTAAAATGCATTCCCTTGATGTTTTAGAATAGTGGGCCGGCTCGTGGCTCACTCGGGAGAGAGCGGTGCTGATAACACCAAGGCCCCGGGTTCGGATCCCATTAGGGATGGCCGGTTTGCTCACTGGGTGAGCGTGGTGCTGACAACACCAAGTCAAGGGTTAAGATCCCCTTACCGGTCATATTTAAAAAAAAAAAAAAAAAGAATAGTCCTCCCTCCTGATCAATTTTCACAAAATTACAAAAAGCAGTAGGGGCACCTACTGTGGCAACAGGGTTTTTATTGACTGTGTTGGTTAAAGAGGTTTCTTCTAACTCTAGTCGCCATGAGCATTTTTCTTCTCACTTCTCTCCCAGTTCTTGCCCATCTACTCTCCCTCTATACCTTGTTTTTGAGATCATCCCACATGCTCTGGAACTCCAGCTTGCTTTCGTACTCAGAATCTGTATAGTTCTGCTCCATGGCCATGAAGACATCTTGTAGGTAGTGAATCTCTTTCTCATGTTGGTCAATGATTGTCTTCCTATAGGAGACAAGACACTGTCCCTGCTCTGAGGGATAAAGCATATGGACCAATAATGACAACTGAAAGCAGTATGTAATAAAACTATAAGAATGGTACAAACTCAGGTTCTGATGGAGAACAGGGGAGGGGAGGGCTGTATTTTTTTTAGGACCAGGAAGAATGAATAAAATTATTTTGATTTTTGAATAGGCGATATATTCATGTGATACAAAAGTTAAAGAGTATAAAAGGTTACTGTGAGAAATCTCCCTCCCATCCCTGTCCCCTGCCAGACAGGTAGGATTTTGATAGTTGAAGGTGGGTGGTGAGGGGGCCAGCTTGTTAGCTCAGTTGGCTAGAGCGTGGTGTTATAACCCTGAGGTCAAAGGTTTGGATCCCCATACTGGCCAGCCACCAAAAACCAACCAACCAAACCAAACAAAAAGAAAGTGGGTGGTGAGGGTGTACAGACAGGAGTCTGACATGGGTAAAGGGAAGCTAAGACAAGCTTAAATCTGAGTTCATTTGGAAGGAACTCAGATTCTTCTCTGCTGGGGGTCATGTCATAATCAAGGTGGGATGCTCCAAGGTACTGGCCACCTGCCTACAGGCAGCTCTTTGACACAGACTCTGGGCATTTCCCTGGATTCAATCCCCCATCACCTATCTTCTGTTAGGCCACATACCTTTCTGTCTCAAACTCCTTGGTTAGGGCCTCCAGCTCCATGTTGTAACTTTCCTCCAGGAGGTTGAGCCGGTGCCTCTGCAGGGCCAAGAGCTGGTCAACATTGTGCAAGTGGCTGCGCAGGGCATGGGCATACTGTTCCTCAGCTTCAGACAGGTCCTTAGCTAAAGACTGGACAGAAAAGAGAGAGTTACCATTCTGGTTGAATAGCATCTGTATGAGAAAATAAAAAATATATGCAGCTGGCTACCTGGATGTTATAATGACATTTTTTCCTTAGCTCCTAATACCAATTCTTTGGCTTTAGGAGGGTTGGCTCTCCCACTCATCCTTTTTTTTTTTTTTTTTGGTGGGATTGAACCCTGTTATCTCGGAGTTATGAGCACCATGCTCTAACTGAACTAACCAGCCAGCCTCCTCGCACTCACTCTTGAATGTAAAGCAATAGAGATATCAAGGTCTGTGTGATGTTTGGGGCTAAAAAGAAAAAAAAATAGAGTGGTGTCAAGGAGCCCCATGAAGCCAGTCAGTGTTCTGTGGATGACAAACATTTACAATGATAAAGCTACCACTGAAAAGAACCAGGAATTCTTAGAGAAATGGCTGCTTCAAGGTCTGAGGCAGAAAATAAGTTGAGCCTAGGGTATCTTGTCATACAAGATAGCAAAGAAGCTTTCCAAGACCAGTAGGGTCATGTAAGAAGGCCTCAGAAACCAACGTGAAGTGGCTCACTGTGGCAGAATATGTTTTCCAAAGATGAGCACAACAACATCTCCCATCCTATAATTTTCTGTGATGTGACCTTGCCACTCCCCCATCAAAAGGTGGAGTTTCTGGGCCAGCCTGGTGGCACACTGCTACAGTGCGCCGCTTAGGAGCGCGGCGACGCTCCCACCGAGGGTTCGGATCCCACATACAGACTGGCCACTCACTGGCTGAGCGAGGGGCCGGCGCAACACCAAGGGGTGCGATCCTGTTGCCGGTCCCGGCCCAGTACAGGCGCGACACTGAGGGTTGCGCTCCGAAGCCGGTCATGAAAAAAGACAAAAAGGAAAAAAAAAAAAAAGGTGGAGTTTCTGGGCCCGCCTGGTGGCACACTGCTACAGTGTGCCGCTTAGGAGCGCGGCGACGCCCCCACCGAGGGGTTGGATCCCACATACAGACTGGCCACTCACTGGCTGAGCGAGGGGCCGGCGCAACACCAAGGGGTGCGATCCTGTTGCCGGTCCCGGCCCAGTACAGGCGCGACACTGAGGGTTGCGCTCCGAAGCCGGTCATGAAAAAAGACAAAAAGGAAAAAAAAAAAAAGGTGGAGTTTCTTCTTCCATCTCCTTGAATTTGAGCAGACCTTGTGACTACTTGGATCAATAGAATACGGTGGAAGTGACAGTGTGCCAGTTCTAGGCATAGCCCTCAATTGGCCTGGCAGCTTCGGCTTCCTCTCTCTTGGAATGCTTGCTCTTGGGGAGCTCCCTCCAGGAACCCAGCCATCATGCTGTCAGAAGCCCAACACTCATGGAGGGGCCATGTGAAAGCATTCCAGTCAACAGCCCAGCTGAGGTCCCAGCTGTTCCCAGCTGACAGCCACAATTAACTGCCAGCCATCTTGGACATCCAGCCCAGTCAAGCCTTAGGTGACTGAACCCTCAACTGACATCTGACTGAAAACCATCTTGCTTGAGAGACCCCAAGGAAGAGCCAACCTGAGCTCAGTCAACCTACAGAACCATGAGAGATAATAAATTATTGTCTTAAGCCACTAATTGAGGGGTGGTTTGCAGTAGATAACTGCAATACTTCCACTGGCAAAAAAAGAACAGTTTGAGCATCAAACTTAAGGATAAGAATTGCAATGGGCTGAAAAATTTCAAATACATTTGATTATAAGTTTATAAGAATACTTTTTTTTTTCCTTTTTGTCTTTTTTTTCGTGACCGGCAATGGGATCGCAACCCTCGGTGTCGCGCCCGCACCACGATCAACCAGTGAGCGGACCGGTCTCTATATGGGATCCGAACCCTCAGCGGGAGCGCCGCCCTCTACCAAGTGCGCCACCGGGCCGGCCCTATAAGAATACTTTTTAAAAAATTAGTTACCTCTGGAGGATGCCAGGTAACCAATTCTCTTTTTTATTTTTTAAACTGTCAAATAAAGAGAAGAGAAAGAATCAAGCATTTATCCTGCTTTTCCTATATAATTTATACCTTTGGATAAGTGAATGATAAAAGAGGGGAAATATTTTTCTTTTCTTTAAATATCAGCAGTGACTTTCATTACTTCTGCTGTGTTTTTTTTTCTTTTGTTTATTTTTTCATTTTTTTTCCTGGTGGGTGGACTGTTATGGGGATCTCTGAACCTGTGACCCTGTGACCTTGGTGTTGCAAGGCTGTGCTCTAACCAACTGAGCTAATCAGCTAGCCCCAGGGAAAGAATATATATATATATATATATTTTTTTAAAGATGACCGGTAAGGGGATCTCAACCCTTGACTTGGTGTTGTCAGCACCACACTCAGCCAGTGAGCGAACCGGCCATCCCTATGTGGGATCCGAACCCGGGGCCTTGGTATTATCAACACCACACTCTCCCGAGTGAGCCACGGGCCGGCCCCGGAAAGAATCTTTTTACAGGAGTATTCAAGCTAACAAATGAAAAGGGAATGATATGATCAGAAAGTCAGTTTTGCAACCTCCATGAATGAATGGATCATCAACAGCTGCTAACATCACAAAAAGGGAGATAACTAGATATTAAGTACCCCCTGATAGAAGAACACAACTCCAAGCTTCAAGATCCAATTACCAAAACAGAAATACAGAGGATAAACTAATGTGTTAAACTACAATATAGAATACTACTACACAGTTGTGAAAAAACAAAATGAGAAGCTCTTTATGGGTGAATATGGAACAATACTCAAGATGTATTAAGTGAAAAAAGCAAGGGACAGAACAGTATTAATACTATCATCTGACGGGGCCGGCCTGTCGGGAGAGTGCGGTGCTGATAACACCAAGGCCACGGGTTCGGATCTCATATAGGGATGGCCGGTTGGCTCACTGGCTGAGCGTGGTGCTGACAACACCAAGTCAAGGGTTGAGATCCCCTTACCGGTCATCTTTAAAAAAAAAAAAAAATACTATCATCTATGTAAAAAGGTTTATTCAGGCAACTAGAAGTATTTGGAGGGGCACTGGGTGGCTGGGAGGCACTGGTAGGAGGGAACTTTTTTCTATATGACCTTTTTTTATCTTTTGAACTTTGAGTGATCTGAATGTATTACCTTAAAAAATGTAAAACAAATTAAAATTAAACATAGGGCCGGCCCGGTGGCGCACTGTGCTAGTGCGCCGCTTTGGAAGCGCGGCAGCGCTCCCGCCGAGGGTTCGGATCCCACATACAGACCGGTTCCCGCTCACTGGCTGAGCGAGGCACGGGGGC